AGATATAATTTGGTGGCATGGAGCCACTATGTTTCAGCACTATGCTAAGCAGCAGAAAAAAAATTGTGGCAAATATGTCTGGCAATGTTTTGCATTCTAGGATAAAAAATATTGGGCAGATTACTAAAAAACTGAGAAGATGTGTGGCGAATTTGGACTTTGTTTTATGTTTTTTCATTTATTTCTTGATTTGGTTTGCTACTTTTTAAAAATTATCGTTCTTGTAATTTAGAACTTTCCTAAGAATAATACTATTGGGAGTTTTTTTTTTAAATTTTTGCATTTTTAACAAGTTCTAGTAGTTTTCCTTTTTTCTTTTGGCAGCGTGGTTATGTTGGAACCCAGATTTTCTCAATGCTAATATTTAGTGTGTTCTGGTTGTGGGCTTGGACCCAATTTTCTTTTGTCTTTGTCACATTAAAAGTTACGATAAAATTTCCAAATTGGTACTTTGTCCTTTCACTTAATTTTATTTTTATATTATATCACCTTTTTTTTCCTTTTGTTTTCTATTTTTTGGAAATTAATGCATAAATCCCTTTTTCATTCATAATTGAAAACTAATTCCAATTTTTCATATTTTACGTCAAGGTCCCTTTTTCCTCTTTTTATTTATTTATTTATGCCTAAATAAACCTAGTACGGTACTCTAAGTACTAGACTGCATTTAAGCTTGTTCTGCCAAAACTCGGTCCGCACTTGAAGTACTGGACTGAGTCCTCTATATTTGCTATTTTTATTTTTTTTCCAAAAGTCGGTGCGGTACTTAAAGTACTGGACCAGCTCGAATGATGAAAAAATGTGTTCTGGTACTTAAAATACCAGACCAGCTTGGGGCAGATTGGTTGGTAAAGGTTGTACTGATACTAGAAGTGCTGGACCAACAGTGATATAGAGGCGGTTAGGTAGTTCAAGTGCCAGATTGAGTTTTGGAAGGAAAAGAACATGTGATATGATACTCCATGTACCAAACTAGGGTTATTTTGGAAAAAGATAAAAAACTGACAAAAAAGGGGGCCTACATGTGTAATATGAAAAAATGGGGATTACTTTTAATTAAAAAAACAAAGGGATATATATGCTAATTTCTCCATTAATTTTCCTCAATTGCTTTGTAATTTATTTAGTAAATCTTGTGGTTTGATTATTTGGATTTTTCTTTATTGCTTCTTGATAATTTAATTCTTTTAATATCTTCAGGCAATTATGTAGCTCTAGTCAGCTCAAGCCCATTGCTTAACGCGTCTTGTTGCAACCATGGATGATGTGTGTTCATAGCCAGCATACCACGCTAGCATAAAACAATGTAGTTTTGTGTTTTTAAATTTGGTGCATGTTGGCAAATTTTGCTTCTTTATTTTATTTTCATAATTTTTGTTGGTGTATTGTTTTCCTGATGAATACTTTCCATCTGTTTATTTGCTTCCAAGTTAATTATTGAAACTTTACTGATTGAATTTAATAGTTTTTTTTAAAGTCTAAGACTTATAAAATATTATTTAGGGACTGTTCGCTTGCACGGACAGGTGCTCAACGTGATCCAGACTTATCTGACGTGGAGGCGAATTGGCTTTTTAAAGAAATTCCCACTTGGTGGATGTGTGCATTTACCGCATGAATTTGTCACAACAGTTCTCTTCATTGCATGGGACCAAAATTATTCATAAGAGGCCCAAGCGCATATAATATGCTCATTCTTAATATGCGCATCCAGACATGGCCCTAGCTTTTATTAGACAGTTGATTTTTATATGGTCTTCACTCTTCGTTGTTATCTTTATAATAAGTTCGCTTTGTAATTTTTTTAGCACTGGAGTAATTTGTTATAATTCTTTTAGATGTAGTTCTTTGAAGGAAATATCTTGGGTTGTGTTGCCTTAAATTAATTTAGAGTTTTTTATCATTCCTTTCCGGCATTCGAGTGTTTTATTTACTTTTGTGAGTTTAGTGTTTTGTAATTTAAGCTAATTTTTTTTCTTCTTGTCATTTTAAAACTTCTAATAACGTTTAGATTAATTTGCATAAATTATTTTCACCATGTTCTCTTGCATATTAACTTTTGCCACTGATGTAATTTTTTTGTAGTTTATTGTTTATCAACTTTTAAGAAATTTTGTACTCCAATTTAGTGATGCCCTTTCAAGGTGTCGCACTTTGGAATTCTTATTGTGGAAAAAATATAAGACAATGACGCTTAAAGCACCACCCAAGACTTTTAAGTTTCAACCAGCTTATCTTTTGTTGTGATTTTGTAAACAATCTTTGGTGTGCTACTATTTACTCTTAAACTTCAAATTCGTTGGTGATAAATCACTCATGTATGTTCTTACAAATTTTAACAAACTACCTTTACCTAGAGAAAGTAATAAGGGATGTCACCTCTCTGGTTCTTTGGGAAATTTCTGTCACAATCTTGCATTCAAGGATATGAGGGATCACTTCCTGGTTCTTTGGGAAAATTTCTGTTTTGATCTTGCATTGGCCCCTCACCATACTGATTGGCTACAACTAGTCAGTAGCTAATGGCACAGCTAATGGCACATGCATTGCATGATACTATGACAAATTAGGTAAAAATAATCTTTAAGCATTTATTAGTAAATTTAGAAGTCCTATATTGTTTTAATTTTTTTAAGTCATCCAATTGTACCATCTTTTAGCATTCTATAATCATTATGATAATTCTCTAAAGTAAAATATATTATGTAGCTCCCATTAATTTTAGTATTTAAATTAAATGAAAAATGAATGAATTAATTTTTGTTTTTATTTAATTTTTGATTTCTATAGCTGTTTAATTGTCTTCAAATTACGTATCATATTTAATTCTATTGATCCTCAGCAGTTCTGTAGAAATAAAATACTCCTATTTCTTACCGCTTGTAATTCTGATAATCGCTCCTATTTCTAGTCTTCAATTATTTTATTAACTTTAGATGCGGTCAACCAATTATAGAGATTCTTCAGGAGTGCTTTTAGGAGCTGAGAGAGTTTTAGGAAATTGGGATAGAGATGGACGTTTGGAGGGAAAAAAAGAGGGGTATTGAGCAATTTGAAAGTCATGCCCCTAAATTTTCTTCCTTGCATAGTTTATGTGCTTTGTCTTTTTGGTAACAACGGAGATAAATGTGGTAAAAAAATGAAGTACCAAAACTCTCTAAGAAAACCACAAAGACACTTGTTGGCTTGTCTTTATTTAAAGGAAAAAGTTTATATAAAGATGCAACCTTATAATGTAGAACTATGGATGCACCTCAAAAATCCATCAGAAAAGGTAGTTTTAATGTTGAAAAACCCTTTGATTGATCATCTCGACATCGAGATGTATGACCATGAAAAATAAAAAAGAATTTTAAATCTCAGAAATAGTGCATTTTACAACATAT